ATTTCATGTTTGCATCATGGTGACAGGCTGAGAGCTACTGTTCATTGTTTTTACAGAACATTTATAGTTAATAATAATCTACTGGTGTTATATATTTAGTCATCTTGAATTTAAATTACCTTGACTTTTGAGATTTTATTTTAAGCATTTTCCTTGTATTATTTCTGAACATATAATATGTATAAGACAAGTTTGTACAAGATGTAGTTGTAGTTCATGCATCTTTTCTGCAAAGATACTTAACAAGTGATTTGTTAACAACATCATGTGTGCTGCACTTGGAATAGAATATTTTTAGCTAGAGGGTTAATAAAGAAAAAGTTACTTGAATCATGTTGTTGTTACATTTTCTAGTTCAAAAATGGTAAAAATCGAGCATCTGTCAAACGTTCTGAAAAAAAATCGAGATTTTAGTGTTTTGCCATATCGCCCAGCCCTAACTGTATGCATCAGGTTTCTAAAAAACTTAAACTAATGAACTACACAACTTTGTGTGAGAGCAGTTTATTGAGATTGTTATTATTTATAAATTTAATTAAGCATTGGGGGTTTAAGCTCCGTGCCTAACAACACCACTTAACCACGGTAAAATCACAGTAACTGCCTCTTGTGACTTACTGCTTTAATATCAGATCACTGCATTTCGGTCTTCTGAGAATCTGAGAACAATATTACCCACCAACGGGACGCTGGCACATACCTTGATGTGTTCCTTAGCCCTCATGAGGAGGCTGAGGGTTGTGTGCCGGTTTGAGTCTGGTCCTAAGGGCACAAGGGATTTTAAGCGCTCCAAACACAGCCGTAAATGTGCCCTCCTGGGTGCGTGAGGAGAAGAAGACGAGAGAGTGCGTCAGAAAAGCAATGCAACACTTCCAATAAGCAGCAGCAGCAACATGAATCATAAAAATAAGAAGAATGCAATTACGATCTGCGACGTTAACACATTTCAGTTCGTTCCTCATACAAAGGCGTAGTAAGAATATAGTGCATGAGAAAAAAATATCAAAATATCAAAAATTTCAATAGCCACTATATGGCTGTATACTCAATGGCTGCATATAGATTGAAATCTATAAACAATTGTTGTAATGAACTTAACCTCTTAAGTTTTAGATTTTATCACAAGTTAAAATTGTAGAATTGTTTAAAAAACATGTGTTGGGTGAGACGTTACAAAGATGCCAAAATATGCTTACAGACTAATCTGATCATGCTATAAGGAAAACACAAAGTAGGAGACAGATTAATCATTTATTTCTATAAATAATAATAATAAAATTTCAATAACTGAAAAAAGTAAAATGAGTGTGTGTGTGTGTGTGTGTGAGTGTGAGTGTGTGTGTGTGTGTGAGTCTGCG